TTATTAGCCATTTGCACCTAGGACTTCCCAGAAGCATATGATAAAAGTGTAATAAAATCTTAGTAATACTAGTTCCTATTTAAGGACTAACAGTGGGCTCAGGAATATCAGGTGGTGAGGATAACACAGGATAGGGCAATGTTCAGATCTCAGGGTTGCTATGATCATGGGAGCTCTGGTGGCTTCGTGGTAAGGAATTATGCTGTCAGCACAAAGACACACGGTTTGAATCCTCAAGTTGCTCTGCTGGAGAAAGATGGGTCGTCTCCTGTGTAATTAACTGTCTGACAATCTCCTGGAGGGTCAGCTTGGTTCTGACTTGATACATGACAACAACAACTAAAGTCATACTCATAACACCACCAACAATAGCTCTCTTTTCAATTTATCATATTGATGCTGTTGTGTGGTGGTAGAGAGATCTGGTGGCTTCTTGGTGAGAAGAGGTACTGCCAGCTCAAAAGCAGGCACTTCGAATTCATCAGCTACTCCACAGGAGAAAAATAGAAACTATCAACAACTTCATCTTACTTGGGGCCACAGTCAACACACTTGGTACTAGCAGTCAAGAAATCAGGAGACTTAGTGCTTTGGGAAAGTCTGCAATCAGGGATTTCTCCCAATTATGAGATGTGTCTGATTCAGGCTGTGGTCTTTCTGATCTCTTGCTATGCATCTGAGAGCTGGACAGTGAATAAGGATGACAGAAGAGGAATTGATGATGCCTTTGTGCTGTGATGTTGGAGAAGAGCACTGAACATCTCATGGACAGCCAAAAGAACAAATATGTGTTGGAGAGTGTAGCCAAAGTGTGTCTTGGAAGCAAAGATGTTAAAGCAGATGTTAACTAACATACTTCGGGCATGTTGCTTGGAGAGTGACTTGATGGTCAGAAAGGCAAAGGATCGTGAAAGAGAGAAGGACCCTCAACCAGGTGGATTGACAGAGTGATTGCCCTAGTGGGCTCTGGTGTGTCAGGAAGTATGAGGATGGCGCACTGTTGTTCATAGGGTCGCTATGGGTCGTTCTGGACTTGATGGCACCTAACAACAGAAACTTCACAGGAGAAAGATGAGCAGTCTTTTTCTGAGAAATTTGCAGCTTTAGAAAACCCACTGGTGGTTCAGCTGTGCGTTTGCTCTGACTCTATGGCAGTTTTTTTAATTATTGGGGAGCTGGGTCAGGTTGAGTTTGACTCCTAGTGACCTTATAGGAGAGAGCAGCAGTGCCCCATAGAATTTTCTGGGGTTTTTTGGGAGCAGATTGCTAGCTTGTTATTCTGCAGAGTGGCCCGTGCATTTAAAACTCACAGTCATCAGCCAAGTGCTTAACCATTGGGACAGCAGGGCTCTTTTATTACCTTGGTATGTTCCCTGAATCTTATGATGGAGAGAAAAAAAAATTGTTTACCTTTCAAACTTCTGTTAATGCTTTAAATGTCTTGACTATCATTGTGTAAATTCCTTACTGTAAAAAGTGAGTTTTGAAAGTTCATAAACTTTCAAAGAAATGTTTTATTTTCTAATTCCTGGTAAACACTAGATTAGGAATAAGCAAATTTCCATCTTGCCAGTTGAAATATTTGATGATGGAGATATTGGCTGTAATAAATTCATTAGATAAACAACAATAATCAAAGGTGAAAGGAATTTTAACCAGTTTAGCAATATGCTAAGCACACCAGTGCATTTAGTCATTATTTATGTTCATTTCACTGGTTGTAAGAATTGGGACTGTTAATAGGCCTTTTTACTCACCTTCTTTTTCTGGCCCAGGAGCTCCTAGAATTTATCTCAGTATAAAAGTTCCCTTATTTTCCTATAGTAAAGGGAAGATGACATAATTTAAAAGCCATACCAATTGCACAGATGTCTAGTCACAAAAAATAATGACCTTAAATTATAGGGTATAAGTCATCAACTGTGTCAGTTAACCAAAAGTATGGTAAAAAGGGAGAAAAAAAATGTTGTATTATGTGATAAAGCATAGAGTATTTGTATTTATGCTTATTTGTATATGAGTTTGTTTTCACATTTTTTAAAAACAGCTTTTAATTTGCTGTTTCCAAATCTGTGCCTTTGAGTAGTGGTGCTGGAGAAGAGTATTGAGTATACCATGGACTCCTAGGAGAACAAACAGGTTTGTCTTGGGGAGGTTGAAACCAGGCTGCTCCTTGGAGACAAGGATTGTAAAGCTCCCTCTGACATACTTTGGGCATGTTGAAAGGAGAGACCAGTCATTGGAGAGGGACATCATGCTTGAAAGGATGGAGGGACAGCACAAGAGAGGAAGACCCTTGATGAGATGAATTGGCTCAGTGACTAGGGTAATAATGTGGGATAGGTGTGTCAGAGACAGTGAGACTGGCTGAAGATAGAGCAGGGTTCAGAGCTGTTTCATATAATGTTGCTGTGAGTCGCAGGTGACTCCACCGCATGTAACAACAGTAATCCTTCATAAAGGTGCTCTGGTGACATTGTTAATAACCTCTCATACTGCCAACCAAAAGACAGTTTGAATCCACTCTTGGGTTTAGATTTTTGGTTTAACCCATGCTAAATATATATATGGAGGTAGCTCTCTCTTAACCCACTTGGAGTGTATAATGCAGCTAGTCTATTTAATCTTGCTTTGGAAGGAGTATTATGTATAGGAGCCCTGGTGGCATAGAATGTAACTGAGAGTTTGAATCCAGCTTCCCCATGGGAGAAGGGAGAGAGAGAGTCTCCTCCCATTAAAGATTTAACATCTGAAAATCCCAGTGAAGGCTTGCAGTGAAGTTGATTTAATTGCAATGGCTTTTGTTTTAATTTCATGTGAGGGAACTCTGCTGTTTAGTGATAAGGAATTTTACTGCCACCCCAAAGCCAAGCTGTTCAAACCCACCCACCCTGTTTCTTCTTATTCTCTGAAGGAAAAAGATAGGCAGGCTTTTCCTCTATGGTTTACAGCTCTGTAAACCTGCTGTAGGGTCAGCTGTGAGTCACTTCTAAACTGACATCATGTGTTGGAGCAGTGCTAAGTCACTCCTCTTCCTATGGAATTGTGAGATTACCTGAACAATATTCACATCCCTTTGGTTAGAATCCTAGCTTGGAATTTCTACAAGAAGATGTAATGTTCCGCAATAATATATTCTCCTTTTAGAAGATGGAGGAGTCATCTGGGTGCTTCCTACTATGCTAAGTGAATGTAGGTGAAAGGTAAAGAGAAATTTGGAAGTGGATGGAGTCATTTTCTCACATTAGAGTCACCAAGGGTACTAGTGTCACTCACAGAATCCTTTTGGACATAGTACAAAAGTAAGTCTTACTAAAGATGACTTAATTAAAATGTCACTGTTTTTCTGTTATAATGACATACTTTTCAGTTATGCAGATTATTTTTTAAGCACTGTGGGTTAGGCAAGAAGATACTGTCTCTGCTTTCATGAAGCTCAGAAGGGATATAAACAGTTAAAATATAGATGCAAAGTGATAGCAAGGTTGATAAAGGGCATCAGCTAGCATGGTCCTTAGCTCTTCTCAAGAGAAAGGGACAGGGAATGTTCTGTGGAGAAACTGACATCCCTGCTGAGATCTGAAGGGTCAGTAGATATTAGCTAGAATAAGATGGTGATTGGAAGAGGGAAAAGAGTTTGAGAAGTTATTTCTTCTAGGAACTGAAGAAAGGTTCAGTTGATGGGACCCAGAATCATGAGTGAGTGAGTGAGGGACAGCATTCAAGAAGTGAGAGAGATGAGGGTGGACTTGCAAGTAGAGGTCAGATGCTCATGGTCTGACGGGTCCGGGTAAAGGAATTAGACCTTGTCCCAAGAGCAGCGAGTGATTATGGAAAGCTTTTACACAAAAAGATGAGCCATTCACTTTTGGATTTTGTTTTTAGTGATCTTATTAGAAGTTGCAGTAATCCAGGTGACAGATGATGGTATCTTGAACTATAGTAATGTCAGGTAGAGTGTCTTAAGTGACTTTGAAAAGCATTTAGAAGGTAGAAGTAGCATGAACTTGCTTGTCGGTTTGGGTGTGGTGGAGATTAGGAAGGAGTGATAGCAGGGAGTGCAGATTTCTGATTTGGTACCTGGACTAGGGAATACAGAAGACGAGGGTGAATAAGGTGATGTGTGTTCTCTTTTAGCTGGCAGTTAGATGTATAGTTGTTAGGGGTATAAGAACAAACTCTGGGCTGGACAGATTTAGCCATCATCATATGGCACAAGATTGATGAATACATAAAATGCATCAGAGTTGACACAATAGCACCTAACAGTAATGTATAAATAATAGTTGACACTTTGGAAAATAATGATAGTATGTTGTTGTGTACTGTCGAGTTGGAGCCGACCCATAGCTAACCCTCCAGCAGGTTTTCAGAAGCAGTTAATCTACTGGGAGATTGCCTTATCATTCTCCCACAGAGCACCTGGTGGTCTTGAACATTCCTTTGGGATTGCAGTACAGCTTCTTGCCACTAGGCCACCAGAGCTCCCTTAAACAGTGGAATAGTATATGAACATTTAATCTGTTCACTATACTTGCTGGCACAAAAAGGTAGGAGATAGGGAGCTTGACAGTTTAAACAGTACTGGTAGTCACTGCAGTTTCAAATACATTTAAGATAAGTTTACTTGGAGCTCTAGAAAAAGATATACTTAAGTTCACTTGGGGAGCTCTTGGATGTGTAGTCTGTAGCAAGTTGTGCTGCTAATCCAATGGTTGCACATCTCTGGCACTTTTGTTTTATTTTCTTTACCATAGATGTTATCTTTTAGTGCCTTGTAGTTTTCTCTGAATACCTGCATCCATAATTGATGAATGGGGTTGTAGAGATTTCACTTACTGTATTTTAACCTCAAAAGCTTTTCCTTTAAGGAAATGCCAATGCATTTCAAAAGCCAGCATTTGAACTGTTAGGATGATTTACGGATGGGGAAGTGTGATCACTTAGTGTACTAATTGTCTTACATGGTTATGCTTTCTTCTGGACTATTTTGGATACAGGTTTGACGGGTTGGGTCCAACTATAATTGTCTGTCCAACAACAGTGATGCATCAGTGGGTGAAAGAATTTCACACTTGGTGGCCTCCGTTCAGAGTGGCAATCCTACATGACACCGGGTCCTATAGCCACAAAAAGGTAATGTTTATAATGGTGCAGTACTTTCTTATTTATTTTGTTTTAAAAGCCTCCCTTGTATAATTTGTTTTGTCTTTAATCCATGTCTTTTTCAGATGCATATTCCTATAGTTTTGGGGTTTTTAAATTGCATTTAGTCATTATGTTTTATAGAAGAAAGCTGAGCAGTCTCCTCTCATGCTATTTATTACCTCTGAAAATATGTGACCTGTAGAGGGTCACCTATGAATTGGTTCCAACTGGTCAGATAACAATAAGATTTCTCACTTATTTGTAATTTTGTTATCAAGAGGTTTATCTCTGCTTCTGTGAACAGTGTTTACTTTGTTGCACTGTGATTTTCTTATGGTCCTTTCTGCATCACTGTTTAGATTGTAAGCTCTGAGTATCTTAGTTAACATTCTTAGTACCACTTATTAGGTTCCTTAGTACCATTTGCAGTTCTGATCCACCAGCTGCTCCAATGGGCAGTCTTCTCCCATATGATTAGCTGCCTGTGAAAACCTATCAGGGGGTCAACTATGGCTTGGTTCCAACTCGAAAGCATGCTACAATTTACTAGGGGGAAGGGTCTGATGTGAAAAAACTATGTATATGAACTTTATTTTTATGTAA